CTCTTTTTCTGTTTTGCATATAGGGTTATCATTACCATCTTTCTAAATTCCATATATATGTGTTAGTATGCTGTAATGGTCTTTATCTTTCTGGCTTACTTCACTCTGTATAATGGGCTCCAGTTTCATCCATCTCATTAGAACTGATTCAAATGAATTCTTTTTAACGGCTGAGTAATATTCCATGGTGAAGATTATAATTATTGAGTGGTTGAGACTATACTGTGATCAACAGTGATATAGAAATAAATGTGTAGGTTTTTGTTTTTCAAGGGAAAAAAAGTGTTGTCCTAAAGCAGCTGCTCTCAAACATTTTGGTCTTTGTATCCCTTTATTCTCCTAAAACTTACTGAGGATCCAAGAGCCTTTGAGCTTTTATTTATATGGCATATGCCTACCAAGATTTACTGTATCGGAAATGAAACTGAGAGACTATCCTAAAGTGTCACTTTGTGAAAGAACGTGTAAGACACACCTTAGGGGAGTTGAGTTCTATGGTAGCCTCACGGGTAGGATTCATTGCAGTGGCCTGGTTCAATCCCTTGTTAGTGAATGGAGATGACCAAGTGGTGCTACATGACAAACCTTAGAAAGTGAACTTTGTTTTGATTTATAATAACTGAGTCTGAAAAGAAGCTATGAAATGTGTTGCCATTTTAACAAGGTTTTGCTCCATCAATCATTCTTGGTGACTTTACCAACAATATGAAAGGTTACTTCTTACCTTTCGTGTAACCTGTCTAGATGTTAGAGATTCTGTGTTTTAGGAAGCAGAATACTTCTCTATGCTTTATGTTGACTCTCATGTCTTTGATTATTTAAGCATAAATTAGAACAAATTTAGTAGATTAATCTTAGTTTTGGCTAGCAATTCAGTGAACAAAAGAATTTAAGGTACAATGAGTTTTTTTTCCTTCTATTTTCCAACTCAAAGTTGTTTTTTTTTTTAAAATTTGATGTTCTGCACATTTGAAAGAGCCAGTTCTTTACAATCATGTTATATGTTTATATTATTTTGTTGTTGTTTTGATCAAATAGGTAAGCAATGATTATTTCTCTGGCACTCACAATCCTTCGTTAATCTTAATCAGGGGACCAAATATTAATAACATCTAACAACACTTTCATTTGACCTTCCCAAAATTGAATCCTAGCTACAGAAAACATAAAAATTTCAGGCTATCTTTCACCAAAAACTATCTTTGTGATTTGACCCTTGAAAAGCACTATCTTTCCCCCTCCCCTCCCAATAAACCTCCTGGCAGCCTGGATGCATTAGTGGATAAAACTGAGGTTTTTACCTCATGGTAAATTACTGTCCTGAGAAAAAGCTTATTCGACCTTTTCCTTCGGGGATAATGAACAGAAAGGTGTTTTTATAGTTTCAAATTATAGAAAACAAAGTCTTTTTGACCTCTAAATCAGTTGTTGAGAACCTGTTGGGTGCTAAGAGTTGGGTATATAAAAAAAGAATAAAACACAATCCCTCACCACCAGATTAGCCCAGTGGAGTGACCAGTACGGAGTTATAGACAATGTAGGCTGGGGTTGGAGGTGAGGGGGATAATGTACAGTGACGAAGACAGGCTCAGGGCATAGATTATTATTCATGGGGGCCCTGAAGAAAGGGCCTGATAGCGGGGAAGGGGAGTGAAGTACATGCTTAGGAAGGCTTCCAGGAGGAGGTGACCTGAGAGCTAAATGCTACAGATTAAAGGAAGAAAAAGACATTCTAAGCAGAGGCTAAGGGTAAGAAAGAGCCTAGGGTGTTGTAATAGAAACTGGAAGCTAGGGAAGCAAGGTTCCCAATGACTTAGGTGAAACAGCCCACCTTTTTCTAGTAGTCATCTATCCAATCCTAACCAATCAAATGCTTCAGCACAGCACAGCACACTATCCACACTGAAACCCTGATGAATTATTACTTCATTAGAATTTCTTCCCCAAAGATCGTTCTCTTGTTGAACTTGTGGCCAGTCAGCACTAATATACCTCTCTCCTCCACAAAGCACACGGGATGGCTGCTCAGACATGGCTGCAGAAGTAAATTTAAGCTCTCCTGACAAGTTGAAAACTGTCTCAGTCTCTGGAGCTGTAATTGGTGTGTACAGCTAATTCTCTCTTGTCAAAGGGCGGATTATTCCATTTTCAGATTTTCAAGGCGTTTACTTCTTTTACCAGCTTGCCCTGGGCAACGTCAGGACTGGCAAATCAATTAACTTCTCTAAGCCTCAACTTTCCTTACTTGTAAAGTGGGGGCACAACAGTACCTATCTCAGAGGGTTGTCATAAGGATGAAAGGAGTTATTAAATGTAAAACACTCAAAAACAGGGCCTAGTACACAGTGAGTGCTTGATGTTAGCTAGTATCACTAAGTAATTACTATTACTTTTTTTTTTTTTAATTAACCATCTTGCCACTAGTACAGAGACTCGTGAGGCAAGTATGTAAAAAATTCAAGGAGCGTAAGTTACAACTTTATGACCAAATGCAGGCCTTTCTTGCTTTTCAATGATTACTACTCAGTTTTTTTCTGGAGTCTTGGGAGATATCATCAATCTTCCTCCTGACTAGCGTTCCTGCCCGGACTCAAATTCCTTCTCATTCTTTTTCACTGTTCTAGGCTGCTAGGCTGTTTCAGTACCTAAGCAATAGTAACAAACAGGTATCCCGAAGCAATTTCTGAACTGTGCCTGGCAAAAGCTTTCATTATATCCTACTCATGACTCAGACCCTGAAAACGTAGCCATCTGCCCATCTATATCACTATCATTAAACTATGAGTGCAAGGAATGCCCTGAATGTCTAAGGACATAGAACTTTTAGTAAACAATTTTCACTTTTAAAAACACAGTTCTATTTCCAAGGCCTTCTATCAACAATGACAGAGCCACTGCTCCTAAACCACAAGGAGAAGGCGCCCTTCTTAGTAAAGGGTATGAAAAGCACTTATTTGTCAAGTTCTTTAAGAACTTTATCTAGTAGAGAAATTTCTTCAGAAATCACAGCCTTGAGTCTTCTGGCAGAGAACTGACTGAGTGGTATCTTTTAAGAATTCTAAAAGAATTTCAAACTATTAAATCTTAATCTAAATAAAGGAGCAGGGATATTCCATTTGATTTAGTTTTACATCAGTGAGGAGGTTTGAGTCCTTTATGCTCTTTATTATTCTATTGCTTAAAAGGGTAAAGATTATACCTACACTGCAAGAACTCTGTTTTTAAGAGAGTACTAGTGGGAACCAAGAGTGCTCCAGGGACAAAATTGACGCTGATAACTGGTGGCCTACAAAGCACTCTTATCTATGCACTTTGGACAAAAGTGCAAAGCTTCAGCCATTGAGCAATGTTTGCCAGCCAACCCAAAGATGTTAGGTACAAAGTATGCAAATAAGCATCTCCAACTCAAAAACCCTGCAATTTTCTTCAGGCCTACCTAGTGCTTCATAGTTTTTAAAATGCTTTCCCTCACATTCTTAATTTAAAATGAGAAGTTAATTGACTTGCTTATGATCATAGAACTAAAACAGCAAAGATGATACAACTATGAGCTTCTTACTGGTTACTGTACCACTACTGTACACTGCCTTTTTAAAGGGTCTCCTGACACTCAGTTATTTCACTACAAATTAATCAGAATTAAATGAGAACAGATATCTATAAAATACATTAGCATATTTTCCTTTCTTCACTGTCCTGGGACTTTGATTTCATGTTACTATGTTTTTACAGCACAATAAGGAAAGGTTTAATGTTTAGTGCTTTCTGTATAAAAAATGCAGCTATATGAAACACTTGAACTTAGTTAATTTAAATGACTCAAGTATGAAAATTAAGTATTTCATAGGATAAACACCCAGTTCTTCAGAATACCAATTGCCAAGGTTTCACTGTATTAGAATGAGCTGTTAAAAAAAAAAAAGAAACTTCAACCAGTTGAGTTTATTTTTTAGAAATGTTTTCCAACTTTACCATTTGGCTTTAGGTAAAGATCACATCCACAGTGGCAGGAAAGGAGGTTATTACTTTCTTGTTGTCTGAACAGTCATAGCCAGGCCTGGCACCTGTTTCTGTCACTCAGTCATGCATCATAGTTAAACCTGAACACCTCAACTGCAGGTGCTCACATATTTTAAGACTTTTTTGGTACACATTTTGCACCACTCTGGTTCCCTTATGTTTAGGCTTTGAACTAAGATACAATGCTAAAATGTTGTATTTGTCTCTGTTGCATTAATTTAAAAATCAAAGTTTAAAGTTAAAATAATTCATTTGAAACGCATGCCAGACAACATTGTAAGTGCTGAGATAGAACAGCAGTAGGTATAGTCTCTGCTCTCATGGAATTCACATTCTAATGGGGAAAAGACACAAAAGAATCAGGCTGTCAAAGTGAAAGAATGACTAAAAGGACTGAGCCACAGGGATTTTCACCAAGCACTTTGTAAGTAGATCTGAGGGCACTCAGTCAAATCCAGAGAACAAGAGATTTACAATGGTGAAACAGACTGTCACTTGGTTATAATTTTAGGCACTGCTTTCTGTTCTCCAAATATGCTGCATAAATGATAGTGAAGTCGCTCAGTCGTGTCTGACCCTTCGCGATCCCATGGCCTGTGGCCTACCAGGCTCCTCCGTCCATGGGATAAGCCCTCCCTAACTCCGGCCCACTAGATAGGCTGTCTTAAAGAGCACAGCTTGACAGTGGGCCAAGAAGGAACCAAATCAGGGAGAGAAGAAAGTGAAAGCCTGGGCAAACTTGTACACGGTTTGGAAAGGACAAAGTGTCCCGCCAGCTTAGAGGCTCCCTGCCTGCATTCAAACAAAAAGGCCAAAACACGTGCAAGGGGTCAAGGCTTCGCTCTTTGGAATTAATATCTGATTGCGGTGGTTTCGGAGACTCGGTTCCCGATTAGGGAGTAATTAAGGGCACTGTCCCAAATCGGCTTCTTGAGTGAATTAAATAGCCTGGCTTAGGTCGCTCCACTAGGAAGGGTTTACTGACTCGTTTCATGCTCTGCAACCTTTTCTCTGCAACACATCACACAGTTTGAGATAACATATTTGGAATTTTTGAGTGGCACCGACCCCTCCCTCGGGCTTGTTTGTTCACTGCAGTATCTATCTAGCACAGGTCTAGTGCCTGGCTCTGTGAAACTGGGATGAAGAAATATTCCCTAGATCAAAAAGCAGAGCGAGTGGGAGGGGAAGAAAGGCAACTTTCCCACAGCCAGACCTCCTGAGGGGTAAACGGCGGGAGCGGGGAGTCACTACACCCGGACTCTAACATCCAAGGGCCAAACGGCTGGGGGAGGGGTCACTGGTGACTCAGGAGGCGACTGGCGGGAGGATGCCGCGAGCCAAGGTCACAGGATGCAGAGAAGAAAGCCGGGCCCGAAAACCACAGCCCGAGAATCTTCCTTCGTTGAGCGTCCTTGCCCCGACACACAAACAGCAGTCAGCCGCAGTCCGCCTAAGTCTGCAGCGGCCCCGGGAGACCACTACCTGGGAGCCCCGCCGCCCCCCTAGAGCGGCCGGGTCAAGGGCACACGCGCCCCTGGCGCCGCAGCCAATAGGCGCGAGGCAGTGTCGGCGCCGCAGCCAATCCGCGCGAGGCCTGCTCCGCGCCGCAGCCCCGGGGCTCACCCCTCGCTCCCACCCCCCACCCAGCCGAAACTGCGAGTCTGGATCCCACCCCCGCCCCCAACCTCGAATGGAGTCCGGCTGCCGTAGAGGGACATACTTCCTAACCCAGGGGAATGCGTTGGCACGCTCTCCGACAGTCCTATGGACATGCGAGCAGTGGGATGTAGGACCCAAAGGGTCATTGTGAGATGTGGACGCTCAGTCATCAGCCCCCTGCGAATCCGAGAGGGGAGCGGAGAAAGTTGGTGTGTGAGGGTGCCCGCGTGTGCCTTCAAGGCGGGTTTAGAGGTCCTGGGGCGCCGGCAGCTCGGCTGGGCAGGCCTGTGGCCCCGGTTCCTTTTCCTCCTGCTTACCTGGCTCTGGCAGAAGCCGCGGCAGCGAGGCCTGGGTGGAAAGCCGCGGCGACTCCGAACAGGACGCGGCCAGAGTGCAGCAGGGCCATGGTAGGCGGCAGGCAGGCAGTGGGTAGCTGGAGGACTGAGCGGAGATGCCAGCGGGCGCAGACCCAGAGGCGCGAGGTCCTGCTGAAGGTAAGGGCAGCGACTTCCCCGGGAGAGGCTAGAGCGGCCTCCCGCCGGGCCCCGAGCCGCGTCACAGCGCACCCTGGCGGTCGGAGCGGAACGGCTCGATTTCTGTGCAGTCTTGGGTGGCGGGTCCCGGGTTGGCGCCACGTGGTCCCGGAAAACAGTGACAGCACAGTTTATCGCAGTTTACAGCTCTCGACACACTTCTTTCATTTAACGACGACGGACCCGACCGAAGGGGTAGCTGCTTATTATGCCACTTTAAAAGATGGGAAAAGGTAGGCTGACGTAGGTGAGGTAATTTGCCTAAGACTATAGAGCCAGTTACCTAAGTGGCCGTTCCTAAATCTTCAGCCGGATGTTTCCGTAAATGCAGATCACCTCATCTTGTTCCTGAGCGGTTTCTAATCTCTGTTATGGAGAAGATAACATGCGTTATCTCCTGGGACTCTTCTGAGGATTAGGCGAGATTAGCCGATTAGGTCTATAAACAGGGTCTGATTTAGTAAACTAGAAACAACTGGTGGTTATTAATGACAACCTTGTTTGTCAAATCCTTGCACTTGTGTGTGGAAGGGAATTAATCATTCTTAAAGGAAAAAGCATATAAATTTGAGACTCCAGACGTGGAAAGATTCAAACAAGTCCATTCTAAACAGTGGCTGTTTCTCTTTTTTTGGGCCATGCTGCTCAGTTTATGGGATCTTGGTGGTTCCCAGTCATTGGTTCAATCCCATCAGGGATTGAACCCTGGCCCTTGGCAGTGAAATCACAGAGTCCTAACCACTGGACCGCCAGGTAATTCCCAATGGCTGTTTCTGTGACCCCCTTCTCTAAAACCCAAGTAGAACTGTGTCTCTTGCCGACTTAGTTAATCTTCTCTGGCATGACTGTGTAAATGAGTAAGTCTAGATGCCTACTTAGGGTCACATTCTAGACTCTTCCTAGGGCAGCCCCAGCTTACTGTCTCAGACTCATCTGCTCACTCTTTGACCTCAGCCTTTGCCGTCACAGGCCATGATTTCCATTATCCTAACAACTGCTGTAACAAATTACTACAAACTGGATGGTTTAAAGCAACAGAAGCGTTTTCTTTCACAGTTTTAAGTGGCTAGAATTCCAAAATCAAGACAAGGCTCATTCCTTCTGGAGTCCCTGAGATGGAATCTGTTCCATGCCTTTCTCCTAGCTTCTGGCAGTTGCCAGCATTCCTTGCTAGTTCCTTGGCTTACTGACAGATTGCTCTAACCCCTGTCTCCATCTTCATGTGGTGTTCTCTCCTTGTGTGTCTCTTCAATTCTTACACAGATGCCAGTCATATGGGGTTAGGGACCACTGTAAGGGCTTCACATTAATGGCTTGATTACATCTGCAAAGACCTCCTTTGCATGGATTAAAGATCTAAATGTAAGACCAGAAACTATAAAACTCCTAGAGGAGAACATAGGCAAAACACTCTCTGACATAAATCACAGCAGGATCCTCTATGACCCACATCCCAGAAT